TATCACCTTAATTAGTTTTCATCACCATGGAAAGTCCTAATTTTGAAGATTAGTTAGTTTGAGATATTGATACATATTTAATAAATTTTCAAATATAATTATAAACTTATTTAAATAAAAATTATTAAATTCATCCGAATCCGTATACACCTTGATTGTTTAAACACAAAGTTTACGTTATATAACTGACATGTGTGATGAGACAGTGGTACTAGAGCTACATAGGTGTGAGCTAATTTGTGCTTGAAGAAATATACTCATGTGAAAACAAACATAGAGAATCTAACACTTGTCCACCTAAAATCATAACTTTCTGACATATGAGTACAACACAATTCTTTTTCTTCAAGATTGTTTTTTTCCCAATTAATAAAATAATTTTGAATTTTATATTTTTAAACTTAAAAGATTTATATCAAAATATTATATAAGAAAGTTAGAATTAAAAAAAAATATGATGAAACAAAAAAAAATACATTAAATATTATTTTCATAAGAAAAAAACTAATGAGCGATTGTTGTTATTGTAACTTCCTCATGACTTCTTAACCAAAATACTCGATAATGATATATTGTGAAAAAATAAAAGTAAACACCGAATAAATATATTTTTAAATTTTGTTAGTTGTAAGTAACAGAAGAGGAACATAGAAATAATATTCTAAGGTGTCATCATCTGTCAGTAACAGCATTTTTCAATGAATAATCATTTCATAGAAAAAAAAAACTATCAATCAATCATTGATCCTACCACTCATTGATTATCTTCGGATCCTATGAACTAATTTTTATTTTTTTTTCTCCTTCTTTGTTCATTTCAAAATTTTCATACTCCCTCCCAATTTTTGTATATATTATTTTGCATCTATTTTTAAAAATACTAATCCACTTTCCCTAAGAAAAAAACTACTTGTATATCTTTATCGCACAAAATAATAATATCATTTAATAGCATTATCATAAAAGGTACTCCCTATTTAACTAAGTTATTCCTGTTTTATCAAGAATAACTAATTAATTTCTACATATATATTTGGATTAATAAAAGTGACTTGGAGAAAGCAATCAATTTTGTTTGTTAATTAATTAAACATGAACCAAATTTGCATTTGACAAAAATGCTAGCTCGAAGCTAAAATAATTCAAAAACATGGTGTAATTTTCTCTCATATCATAGTTATCTAGTATTAACTTAACACATATCTTAAGAAATAATAAATAACAAAAATATTATAATACTTTGAATATATATAATTTGATATTTTGAGAAATGTTTCAAATATTCGACAGTGTTTAATAATAAAAACAAAATAAAAAATAATTTTTTATTTTTTAAACTAAACAAATATGATTAAATATAGTGAACAAAGTAAAAAGAAGAAATTAAAAGTTTTTGTAATCATCACAATTTAGAACCAATAATACGTATGATGCATCGATATAATATAACAAAAATATTATTTTGTTTAGAATTAAACCATTCCTCTTTAGTGGTAGGCACATGTGGGACAGGATGTTTGATGATGAAGAATTGAATATGACATGGGGATCAGTCATGTTAGTTGACTGGTCAAAATTTTGGCTTCATTCAAATAAAACACCAACTGACTCAAAAAAAGTGAAAGTAGAGGGGAGTACTGTTGTGGAATGTATAAAAAACAGAGCCTTCATGTATAAAAAAAAAGAAGAAGTGAAATTCGGTGTTTTATTAGTTTTATTTTTCGACTGTCTTAAAAATATTCTTCTACTTAATCAATAAATTTAAATATATTCGTAGTTTGGCTATACAAGGGAAGTATGCTCTCTATTTTTCTTCATATTTAGTGGTGTATATATGTTTTTAATACTTCTTTTGATTTCTTATTAAGAGTCATATATTTCTACAAGAATTTGCGATCGCTTACTATGTTATACAGTAGATGGATGATGTATTTAAGTTGAGTTAGTCAAATCGATGAGTGTTTTTAAGACCGTCGATAGTTAGAAAATGAAATTAATAATAAACGTAAAATTTATGAGCGTTTTCAATACTTCTCTTTTTGCATTATAATAAAACTACGCTTTGCGAGTACTACTATCACTAATACTACAATAATATTTTTTTTATTATCTACATGACATGTTTAATATTACAAAATTATATATTTTTACTTTAAAATTATAAAATAATAATTATTTTTAAAAATATATGTCGCGTTAAAATTGAATAAATAAATTAATAATTTAAGGAATAAAAGAATGTGCATGCGTCTGGGGCTTTCACTACTTATAATGGTAGAAGTAGTGATGAAGGAAATAATTTTGTTCAGATTGAAGAGAACGTTCTAATGAGATGAGAAAATCATACACAAGATTTGCCTTGTGCTTCGTGCTCATCGGGAAACGTTTCCATTCACTTTTTCAGTTCCCAGAAATGCCTTATTAAACGTAAGCATAACATTTCTTAGAGTATTATAGTCGTGTTTTTGAGTCTAACTAACTTATACTAATGCTAAAAAAAATAAATTATAATGAAATATTATCCCCCACAAAGTATGATACTATATTCGGATTTGAATTTAAAATTTTTAATTACCATAATCTTTGGTGGTGTAAGCTTATCAATATTGCATGTACGTCGTACATAATATTTAAACATGCGCAATGTGCGTTCTTTAAGACGTACAGATAATTAACGGGTTAATCTTACAAAATCAAGTCTCATATGATTGTCTCGGATCTTTTAAAACACTGAAATGAGTTGCTTTACCTTTTAAAATATTAGACTAATTAGATAAGCTTAAGCACACTAATTCTTGGAATAAATCAGTCCTACGAGCTGCTAGCTTAATTTAACTCTGTGGTCCTAGATTATGCAGCTGTTGGCCTGTTCAATTACTTTAATAGTCCATGCATAAATAGGGTGTAAAAAAAAATCCTCGATTAGTCTTCGTGGAATAATTGATATATCCTTCATAATTCAAATCTGAGATATTTAACTAAAAAAGGAAAACAATTTCATCATTTGATAGTGAATAACTTCGAAGTTTTGTTTCCATGAAAATATTTTACCCTTAAAATTAAATATATGTTATACATCTATTAGTTTAATTAAACGTGAATTAGTTTTTATTGAGTGATTTATGCAGTCAAGTTAGTTGAAGGAAGGAGCAATTTCCGGTGGATTAATTCCTTCAACTCGAAGTATTCACATTTATCCCAACCTTAGGTAAGAAGAATATTGATTGAAATTGATTAGGCAAAGACAAAGCCAATTAGATCCCAAGAAATTTTACAAGTGCCCCTTCCTTCCAACTACACAATCATATCAACTTTAATTGATTGATTACTTAATTAAATAATTATTTTTTATTACATTAAAGTAAAACATACTAATCTGAAGCAAGTATGATTTAATAATATGATCTCACATATGCCAAAAAAGAAAAAAAACCATAACAAGGACAAGTATAATCATTTTAGTTCACACGGAAGTTAAGTTGCACCAACCATTTGTATTATAAGACAAATCTAGCGTCCAGCTAGGTCTCTATGACTTTTTATGTCCAATGAAATAATTTGAGAGAAATTTATAAATATATACTATTCGAACGACTAGCTTATTCACTAACGCAAAATATGAAACATATTATATATATAGTATGTATTTTGTAAATAAATTTCTGTAATAGTTAAGGTGGTAATTTATCATTAAAGGTAATTGGTTGTATGCTTACCTTTTTTATTTTGTGTCACATGCTATGCTTCATCGTAAAACAAGTTACTATATACTTTAAATAAAAAATACCATTGTTAGCCGTTTGTGTGACATTTGTTTGACTAATAACTAGTGATTAGTAAATTGTCCAGCTTTGGCCTCACATGAATTAGATTTTTTTTTTTTTGGATGACTTTACCATTTTACAATTAAAATTGTTTTATATAATGATTAATTATCATTTTACAACTAGAACTGTTTTGTATAATGATTACTTATCATTTTACAACTGAAACTGTTATATTCAAAATAAATTGTCAAATGCAAAATATTTGTTATTTGACTATTTTTTTAATAACTCGGCTCATTCATTTATTGAGCTAATTATCATGAATCTGAAATAACAACCACAACAAAACACAATTTAATCTCAAGCGATTTAGATTCAGCTAGCTATATGAATCCCAAAAACGAGTTTGATTCAGCTAACTGTATTTTCTAAAATGGAAAATTTTCGAATCTTGATGTCGTCAAACTAAAAATATATATTCCTTGATTTACTTATACTCGTCTACTTTAATTATAACACGCCTTTTAAGAAATAATAATTAATATAATCATTTATATATAGTCATAACTCATAGGTCTCATGAAATGATATAACATTGAATAATCAATTTAAAGTATATAACACGGAAACAATATGTTATAAGTAAAAATATTATTATTTTTAAATATAGTGGACGTAAAAATGAATGGAGGAATGTGTGAGTAACGGATAAAATATAAATATTATTAAGTATTTCCTAAAAAATTAAAAAGAGAGGTGGGAAAAGAGACAAACATGGATGAGTGGGCTTTTAGTTGGTGGAGAAAAGGGGCCCAGCAGACAATTTTGGAGTATGAACACGCGGCATGCCTATCTTACGAATATTTCAGTTTCAAGGAACAACCATATCATCCATCATCACCTGCACCTTAGTGGATACAGGACCCCACTAATACTTCTCCATCTTCAAGCAAAGAATAACACTAATATTATTATCTCCGTTCCATTTCACGTGAGGTACGTTAAAAAAATTAAAAAAGACTTCAAATTTAGAATTCAAATTGAATGAAATGTTGTGAATGTAATCATTTAAATTATCACTTAATATAGAAATTTATCATTTTTTTAAACTGATTAAAAAAAAAAAAATAGGTCACGTAAATTATGAATGTAGGGGTGAACCAAATCCGATCTAATCGGTCTATTTGTCATCACTACTACTCAACAGGAAATAACTTTCGCACTTGCGGCTAATGATAGAAATGAAACAACTAAGAGAACTAACAAATACTGCATTTCCCACTGAGAATCAATGGCTAATCAGAATTGTATTTGCAAGCAATGGCTACCAGAGCTACCTTTCTAAGGCATTTACCCGAAAAAGTACACTAGTTCAGCTGTTCAGGAACTTAATCCTAAAGATGAAACCAGCTGTCTGCTGAATATTAAGTATAGTGCAAGGAAAATCTACTTCACTCAACCTCCATATCAGAAATAGCTTCATTTAAGACGCTCTGAAGCTCTTTCACTCTGCGTTTTGCCAGTGCGACACAATCCTGAAGAGAAATTAATGAACTAAAAACAGGAGTATTGTAGGAACCACTGCAGATCAGTAGGGAATGGAATGTAAGTTGACAAATGTGTCTATAAAAATGAATATGACAGTAGAAAATAGCATTAGTTTAATACAAACAACAACATACCCAGTAAGATCACACAAGTAGGACCTGGGAAGGGTGGGTGTAAGCAGACCTTACCCCTACCTTCGGGGTAGAGAAGCTGTTTCGAAAGATCCTCGTCTCAAGAAAAGTGAGTTTAGAAACAGGTTTGGGAAATTTTAATTTCCTTGTTTTGTTTTCTTATGATTTGTTTAACTACAAAACAACACTGATTGTAAAATCTTATTTATAATTATCATAGCAATATAAAACATATTAAACAGAAATTTATCTCGATTAAGTTTCTCAAGGGTAACTTGGATAACATATAACTTTTAATACAAACCTGAACCAAAACTAGGCATCCAAAAACAGCACGCCTGGGTATTTCTATATGGTTCTTTTCTCAATAGAGAGGGGAGGGAAGACAGTTACAAAACATGCCCAAATTGGAAATCTTAATGTCCCCGTAAATAAGTTTCCCGATAACTACTGACCTCCTTTAGCTACTATCTAAGATAAATATCACTTGTGCCTTGTAAAGAAAAGAAAAGAAAAATCAACCTTCTTGTCGGTTTAGTTAAGCATTAGGATTATGATGCAAACTAACCTGGATGACTGATGTATGGGCATGAACTGGTCCCCCTGGTTTATAAAGTGAAACAAGCTGGTAGGACGAATCCAATACCACAGTTACAGCCGTTTCCATTATAGATTCTTCCTCTGCTGTAGGATCTGCTAGGATGTAGTTCTTGTGAAGTAAGCACGTTAAGGAGAATGGTGGAGAGTTCAATTTTAGTTTTCTTTTCTCTGTATTGACAGGCTGCTTCTCCAATTTCAACTGGTTATTGTCCTCAGAGACAAGAACTATTCGCCCATCTTCATTCAAAGACACTACTGGAATGTTCACTGCAAAAAAAATCATTTCCTACGTAAAATTCCATCCATATAATAATCAACTTTCCAGGAATGATACGTACAGCTATAAAGAGCTCAGTGCATATAATTTTGAACACTTCAGAAGAAAACACACTTCCCACTATTAACCTTTAGGGATGGTTGCAACCTTAAGAAAATTTAAAATAAAATCAGATGACTGCACCTAATATGTGCACTCTTCTTCATTCCTTCATCTCTTTCTCAGTAATGGCTTCACAATTTTATTGCATGATATTCCTTTTAGCAAACCAAAACTAAGTGCAGAAGATTGCTCTTTTGACCTATTGCTTAAACTAAGAACAGTTCGTCCCCTCTCTTTTCATTTTCCTCAAGACTGGCCTTCCCCTAAGGTTTATTACATGACATATGCAGGCCAGATTCTTGCAGACACTTGCTCCTTGAACATATTGCTAATTGCTCTATGAGCTTGCGCAGACAGCTGTTCCTCTTTTTACTGTCGCCTGTTTGGTATAATAAATATTTTTGTAATCACTAAAACATCTTCTTTCTTACCCTTTTTCAACTTTGATATCGAAAACCTTTCAAAATTTTTGTTTTAACATGTTGTCCTTTTCCAATCTCAAAATAAGACAGGATATAAAGTACAATATTGTTGTCTCTCATGGGACAAGTAATGACTACAGGAATACTCAAGAAAATCCAAGCAATAGCAAACTTACAATGCGAAAAGGCAGCAACTGCAGATAGTAATGCAGCGTCAAACAGAGAACCGTCAGCATCCAAACAGTATATGTCCTGTATTAATCATATGCCGTACGAATTAATATCAACAAGTATGCCTATGGTCTAAAAGTGTTTGTATTAGCATAAAATGAAGAAAAAGAGGGGAAGATTCAAAGACCAACAATGAATAAGTGAAAAACTAGTCCAAATGTACGTGTTGAGGGACGGGCCTTACGGGGTGACATATTTGAAAATGGTAACCTAGATACGCCAAAAATTTCCACTGTTTCTTATTCTGAAGACTCAACTCTTCAATGAACGTAAAATTAAGGAATAAGCTTTTCCTTCTTCTACAGACAAGGGGAAAAAGCAAGAAACAAGATCTTCACATTCGTTAGTACTTACCAGGTAGGCCATCCATGCAGCTTTTCCTCCAACCAAGCACAACTCTTTCAAGTCAATCATGCCAGAACTGCAAACATTTCAATTGCTTATTAAGGAGATTGTACAGGCATTCTTAACAGAAAGTGAAGAAAAAAAATATCAAGAAGATGTGCCAAGAGGAAAGACCTAAAATAGGAAGGGTAAACAAAGCCATGAAGATAACAATCGAAGTAATTCTTTCTTCTACTTTTTAAGAAAAACAGAGAAAAGTTGATTTGATCCACAACCAGAGATACTTCTTGGTATAAAGCTTTTTGTAGGAGTAGTATTAACAGATATGATTAAGTTCCAAACAGAGCAAATGGAGACAGATCATTCATATGGCAGACCACCAGCTAGTGTGAGACTGAAGTATGGTTAATCGAATGATGATTAACAACAACATACCCAGTGTAATCTCACAAATGGGGTCTAAGGAGGGTTGATTGAATGATGATTAAGTTCCAAGAATTTCTGGGAAGAACAAGGATTCATGCAAATATTATTTTATCGGCTGTCCCCAAAGGGACATGCAAAGTTTATTCTCACGGGAGAAAGAAGAAGAATATTCTCCCTTGTAAGTTGTGACATAAAGTTTGTCCAGAAGCAGCTGCTTCTAGTTGTCTGGTAATATTGTTTGGCACAGTATGAAAGATTTAGATGCACATATTCCTCCGGCGGACATTGAGCGTAGACATAAGGGTCTTTATGACACAATCAACAATTTAATTCATTTTCAATTAGGTCTTGATCTAGCTACTACATTTTTGTTAAAAATAAGTAATAACCCCTTCGAAGAATAGAAACACGGCCAAGATGCTTGAAGCAGGAGGATTTTCCCGATCAGATTATTATGTTTGCTGCAGATCATAAGTGGGTCTAGTTGAAACTTGAATAAAAAAACTTCTGTTGTTGACTTGTTGTATTAGATTACCAGACGCTCAAAAAATTATAGAACCAAATCAGTAATTACCGAAAGGCATGGTCAATATTAAAATACCTAACATAATGAAATAGATGATGACGAATACGTAGTGCCCGTTTGGATAGACTTATTTTAGGTGCTTTTAAGCCAAAATAACTTTTAAGCAGTTTTGAAGTGTTTGGGTAAAGTCAAAAAGTGCTTATAAGCACTTATTTAAAGCCAAAAATAACAAAAATAAGCCAAAAGCCAATCCAAACAGGCTCTTAGACTCCAAATTCAGATTATTCTAAAAAAAAGGATATTTAGAGTTCGAGTTTTGGGCACCTGCAAGCTATTACTACTTACCTCAAGATAGTGTCTGACAGCTGCTTAGAAATTACTGATGCTGCCTCTGCAGGCCTACCAGGCCGTACAAGGGGAGAACAAATGGGAGGCATGTGAAATTCGATAGCTGCAATCACAATATAATCATATACATAAGCAGAAACTATATGGGTAATAGGATAATAAGAGCTGAGAGATGAGAGACCTTTTACCTATGGATCCCTCATCTGGACATTCAACAGTTGGTGTCATGATTTCCATTTTGATGGCGGCCAGCATCGTCTGCGATTGATTCAAGATGATCAATCAACTCAGAAGAAATTCAAGTGAAAAATGGAAGCTCCTGTACATTAAAGAAGCAATTGATACATATGATACACTTACAGTGGAGCCAATCTTTGCCAGTGCTGATCCCTCAGCAGAGGCCACGGCACCTGCAGTGATAATAGACATGTATATTTGGACAAATCCTGAGAAAAGATAATATAATAACAACTAATAAGTTGAAAATATGATTCGACAAACCAAGCGCAAGTGTTGTATCTCTAGCACTTCCAAGCTTTCGAGCATCAGGTCGGACCGATTTGAGAAGATGCTGCTCATGATAGCGCAAAGGGAAAAGACGTCTAAATGCGTCCACCTCCATCTCTGAATACAAGTCACTAGAGCCATTGGCAGCAGCCATTCTATAGAAACCAGATGTCTTAGCAATAGCCTTATCAACCAGGGATTATCCAATCATAGGAATGCAAGAAAATCTCATATTCAAATAAAAAGCATGACCCTAGTATCCTGCTGTTCAGTGAGAATGAAGGTTTTGAATTTCGAAATTACAAGAAAACAAGAAAGACATGCAGAAATGGTTGGTGAATATATGAAGAAAATGGGAAAGAGGAAGTACTGTCAAAACCTCAACCCAACCTTGTGAAATTTACTTTGCTTATAGTTGATTTGTTCTTCATTCCCATAGAGAAAGCAAAAGGAAAAAAAGTTAAAGAATATAAAAGTCCCTTCTGTAACTCGGTTGAAAATTATTTGTATTGGCCTACTTGCTTTTCCACTTTGTGGTACTACACTGGGTTTGTTGTCGTTGTTGGTCTATCTGTTTTCAGTTATCAAATTTGTAACTTAACCTTCAAAAACTTAAACAGGACACGGCGCACTGCCATCACCCGTTTTGTAACACAATAATAATGTTATCTACTTGACAAATTTGAAGTCTGAAATTTATTGACTTATAAGAAGATATTAACAGACTATTAATGGCAAAATAATAAAGGAGGTTTTTCAGGCCAATGACAAGAATCATTAGATTTTTATCCTGCCATAACAGAAAACAATTGATAATCTAACATTAGTAACGGAAGCGGTATAATTGACCTGATAGAGATTCACATAATCAACTTATCCTTAAACATCAGTAACATGGAATATTTTCTAATTCTATGTTTGCATTGTAATCACAGTAATTCCTTTGGGTCTTCTTCATTCAGAATCTTAATCTTTCAAGTTCCCAACCTTAGATACATGTCTAGATTCATCTCTGAGTTGCTCGGCTGAGATACATGCAGCTTATAATACATGCTTATGTGCAGATGAAAACAATTACATAAGTTAAACATAAACAATATTTTTTCCAGGTGGTGTGATCGCACACACATATCAGTTCAGACGTCAGACAGAGTTGTAAGGACATTCTCACATCACCCAGTAACAATTTGGCAGTCTAATAGGGGCCTAATATGTTTAGCCAATCAACATCCGGATAAAAGAGGAATCTTTCCTTAAAATAGTATAACTACATAAAGATTGTTATGTCCAACCTTAACTAGTTTGAAATGACACATAGTTAACTACCTAATTAACAGAGCTTGATATAAGAAATACTCCTGTGTGTTTCCAATTAGTTCTCTGAAGACAGTTCCCAAAGCACAAGGTAGAAGCAAATCGTTTTTAACATAAAGTTTGAAAAATTTAGCAAATACACAAGCATAATTTCAGCATAACAGAACTATTGGACAACAAATCAAGCCATGAATGGAAGCTCGGATAATAACTAGATGACATGGAGAGCACCTTTTAGCATCACATTTCACGAAAATACTCTATACAAATTATGTACTGAAGTTAGTGAATTACTGAAATTTTACAGCCAAGAGTGAACTACTCCACACATTATTTTATTTTATATTTCAATTTCACTAGCTCTGCTAACAGATACAGAGGTTTTTACATAATCTTCAAAATACAAATGGCCAGAGACAGTAAGTTTTGGGACAAAGTTAGATATTTGCAAGGAAGAAAGTATTTTCCATCAGTACTTTTACTTCTTCCAGAAAATTGAAGAAAATGTAAAAACTAACTTGGTGGAACCCGAGAAACTTACATAAATTTGCGGCTGAAGACACGGCAAGAGTTGCTGGCGGAGTGAAGCGAGGGAGGGTTTTACTCGAATCGGAGGAAGAAACGGAAAAGAAGAATAAGGAGTGAGACTTGGGGACATATCATGAGAAAAAGCTTAAAATAGTCCCCAATCTTTCCATTTAGACTTCAAAGTCATCATTATTCTCCACACAACGCATTAATAGTCCATTTTCTTTATGATATATTGTAGTTTTGGTCCATCCCTAAACTTTTTTTTTAGATCGAGAGGTTCTATCACATCAAAATTTTTGAACGTGATAATATAAGGAGATATGAAGATCACAAATTAAAAACATACAAAATAGATATAATTGATTTGTTTTTCTGCTTAGTACGTTTGATAATTAGTTGATATTAGTATTATTTCTGTAGTTTCTTATTTTTCAATTATCATCGCCGTATGATATTTGTTGTGCTTTATTTGTCATATTAATAATTTAATATACTCTATAATTATTATGCTTACTCTATTATTTATTTGCTACACCTCATATTACTTTTGTGTGTCTTTTTTAAAGTGCTTTGTGATTTCATTCGAGAATCTTACAAAAAATAATAATCTATTTTTATAGGACAAAAATAGATTTATCTAAATTTCATTTTTTTCGATCCTTTATAAATATCTAATATACTATTAATAAATAAAATTATTTTCCTAATAAGAAAATTTGAGTCTAATTTTCTTTTTATAATGGTGTTCCTAGAAAAACATAAACTCGATTTGGCAATTTTATAACTCCTTTTCAAATTATTTTAGATGATACATTCATAATGAATAATAAAAGTCAGCGTGTATTTTAATTACTTTAAAGTCAGCGCGCACTAGAATTTTATGCGTTTTCTTTTTTATCTTTATCCCAATGAAAAGTAAAGTAGGAAAAAGTGCGAAATATGCGAGATGTCGACCGAATTCATTTCCATGGCAGTTACCTTTGCCCACTGTTAACGAAAGCGCAGTTTAACTAAATTTGCAGTTGCAGTGCGAGAAGTGTGAGAGAAGAGCGTGGTGATCCTTCCTCAGAGAGTAGATCTGAATATAGATCTCTCTCTGTCTACTAGGTGAATTGTTACCTTACGGAAAAAATGGAGTACATAGACAACATGCCGCTAATGGATCTGATGCGCTCGGAGAAGATGACTTTCGTTCAGCTTATCATTCCTGCTGAGTCCGCTCATCGTGCCATCACTTACCTTGGCCAACTCGGACTACTCCAATTCCGTGATGTACTCATCTCTTTACCTGTGAATTTTTGTTTTGAAGTTTGATTGTTGATTCAGGATTGATATTGTGGTTTTATGATTTTGAGGTGTCACTCAGTATATGTGCGTGATTAATTGGCTTGATTTTTACTCGAATACTTAGTCTTCGAGAGTGATTTTGGTTATGTGGAATGCAATGTAACAGGAAAGTGTTGTTTTTGACTAAGTAACGATTCTGTAGTTTTAGTAGTCTAGGTTGTGAAGGATTTGGAAGTTAGTTTATGAATTCATTGATCTAGTAAGGATCAATTCGAATCAGACTGGTTTACTTGATCACTTTTTAAGTGCCAAAGAGTATCAAAATTGAGGGGAAGCTAATAATTTCATTCTTCTAATACAGTTGTTCTAATAATCCAATGTGTTATTTGTGTAAATTGAGGTGAGGTTTCAACGGCATCAAATTACCGTGCTGTCTTTTTTTTTTTGGTTGGAGTAAGGCCAGAGAGAACTATCCACACTCTTGATGATGAGATGCAGTCTTTCATTATTATAATGTTGTTGTCCCTTTCAATATTTTGTATGATATTTGTAAGTAGTTTGTCATCTTCAAGGGGATGTGGCAAACTTTTAAATATTATTATATTTTTATGATCTAGCTATCCTGACTTTTATCTCCATCTAAGCTGCTTTATTTTCATTATCCAGCAAATGATCTGATTAGTTACCTTCTTTTGTGCAGCTAAATGCCGAAAAGAGTCCTTTCCAGAGAACATTTGTAAACCAGGTATCTACGAATATCTGTGGATACAGTAAATTCATCTTCATAATTCTACATGCTTGTTACTAAAGTGGAATTGTGACTATAATCAGCTAAACTGTTGACAAGTTTCAATGTGCTTGTATTGTTGACAAACTGCTATCTCTGCTAACTTCTGCTGGAACTTTGCTAAAGAGAAGATCACTTCTTTTTACTGAAATTTTAGTCCATAATTTTGTGAAATTATGTCGAGCTGCTTAGAATTGCTCTTTCTCACCTTTATCGGACCTAGAAATGAGTAATATCGATCTGTTATTGCTTTTATTAATTACAATTTTGGGTGACGTTTGTAGGTAAAAAGATGCGTGGAGATGGCAAGAAAACTACGATATTTCAAAGATCAGATACACAAAGCCGGTCTATTTCTGCCTCCTCTTCCTGCTTCCCAACCTGATACTGACTTAGAAGAAATAGAGGTCTCTTTCTTGTTTTAATTTACTTGCTGATAAATGAGTTTCCTCCTTTTTCTTTTTCAATTATGGATTTATTCAGTAGCTTTTCCAATTCATCAAAAGCTCATATGGACAATTTGGTTCTTATAAATTTCAGATTCGACTTGCAGAGCATGAACATGAGTTGATTGAAATGAATGCTAATAGTGAGAAATTGCGGCAATCATATAATGAGCTGCTAGAATTTAAGATGGTACTGCAGAAGGTACATTTCTACCTTGATTTCTAGTCATTCTGTTAATTTGCAAGTATTCAAGGTTAGAATGAATTTTGCATTAACGATGTGGATTCTGAGTTGTTTGAGGCATTTAATTTATGTCAGAAACTTTGAATTCTTAAAAAGCTGCTTTAAAGAGAGCAAAGATTTTGAAATTTTTTGTTGTTGTAATCAATAATGGAGTCGCATACACGAGGGTCTATTGGAAACAATCTCTTGACCTTTGAGGTAGCGTAAGGTCTTTGTACGCTCTACCCACCCTCCCCAGACCTCACTTTGTGGGACTACACTAGCTATGTTGTAGTTGTTTATGCTTACCTATCATTTTCTCTTCTAAGTTTGAACTTGTAAACTGACATTCAAAGCTTCTCAGATCAACTCTTCATCACAATTACCTGAAGGACCACAGTTATTTTCTTTTTGGTTTAAAATGTAATCATTTCTTTCAGAGATACTTATTTTTTGGTCACTATCACTCCAGGCTAGTGGCTTCCTTGTTTCAAGTAGCAGTCATACAACTGATCGGGAAATAGAATTGGATGAAAATGTATACTCCAATGATAACCATGGAGATACAGCATCATTACTTGAGCAGGTAAGTGCACAAATAACAGTGTTTTCTTTTGAGTACTTGTATCATTAATTCAATGATGATTAAGTTCCTTAAAACTTTTTCAGCAAAGTTATTTTCAATCTTCAGGAGATGCGTTCAGAAATGTCAAATCAATCTGGAGTGAGATTTATTAGTGGCATTATCTGCAAGTCCAAGGTTCTTCAATTTGAAAGAATGCTATTTCGTGCTACAAGGGGTAATATGCTTTTCAATCAGGCAGTTGCTGATGATGAAATACTGGATCCTTCGTCAAATGAAATGGTCATCCTCTTTCTTTAGAACTTCTAATATGATTGAACCCTTCTATCTGGACATTTCCACTGCCATCTTTCTAAACATGGGTCAGCACAAAAGGAATTTGTTCACTCAGAGAAGTTCTAAATAAAGGAAAATGCTAAAATGCGTAAGATTACTTATGAGTCAAGAATAAATAAGGAAAGAGTAGTAGCATTTCTCCCCATTCGGAATGTGAAAACTCTAACTCCCTCTGTCTAATGCAATGTGGTTTCTTTAATTATCTATATGCTTTTATCTATTATTAATTTTACTCCCTCCTTTTCAATTTCTTTTGTCTTGTTTTGACTTGACACTTAGTTTAAGAAAGTAAAGAAGACTGCTAAATTTTGTGTCTTAAATGAAAGACATGTCAAATGCCCTTCAATCTTATGGTCTTAAACATGATAGGTGGAAAGTTTGAATTAAAGAGTTGCTAAAAAAAAAAGAGAAAGAGGCGTTCTTTTTTAAATGGACTAAAAATTTAAGCAGGACAAACAAATTGAAGTGGATATAGCATTATTACTGTTGTTGTTATTATTATTTGTTTGTTGGATCCTTGCATAAAGGCAACAGCCGATTATAAAGGTTATTGTATAGTTAACATAAACTTTGCTTCTGCAGGTTGAAAAAATAGTCTTTGTAGTATTCTTTTCAGGTGAGCAGGCGAGAACGAAAATACTGAAAATTTGTGAGGCATTCAGTGCAAATTGCTATCCTGTTCCTGAAGACACGACTAAGAGGAGGCAGATAACTCAAGAAGTATGTTTATAATGGAAAGGAGTTTCATCAGGATTACAATTGGACCTTTTTGTGTATTAATTATCTTTGCATAATTTGTTGAAAAATTGTTAGTAGGAAATGGATAATTTTATGGTATTTCTGCCTAATGCAACCAAGCTAAGTTTTAGTTGCCCTCAATTTATGTGTCGATTGACATTCAACGCCATAATATATATCAAGAATGGGCCAATGTTCTGTTATCTCCCTACTAGCACTCGTGCTATGTCTGATTGCCTTCACATTTATTCCACAATCACCTCAGCATGATTTGCCGCATTTGCACTTCAATAAGTCCCAACCCCAAAATCTGTTTAGACATACTGTAATGTACATCGCATACATTGTTTGTGATTGCTCATTCTTGAATTCTCTAGAGTAAGATATCTGAATGAGATAAAATTCTTCATTATAGGTGTTGTCTCGGCTGTCTGAATTAGAAACCACTCTGGATGCTGGCCTGCGACATAGAGATAAAGCTTTGACCTCTATCGGATATCACCTTACAAAATGGATAAATATGGTAAGAGACTAAGAGTGAATAGAATAATTGTATAATCTTTCAGTTTCAGAAAAGAATGAATATAATTAGTTGGAGTTATTTCTTTTTATTGTAATTTATTATTGTCTGGTGGGAGCAAGTGCACCTTGTGGTTTTGACAAATGAGTTAATTGCTCCAACTCCATTTTCTAGGTTAAAACACAAAAAGCTGTGTATGACACTTTAAATATGCTGAATTTCGATGTTACAAAGAAGTGTCTAGTGGGTGAGGGCTGGTGCCCAATATTTGCAAAGACCAAGGTAAATTTCTTTTAATTTTTCTTGTAGCAGTTGAATATATGGAGCTTTAACATGCACACTAGTGAAAATTTTAGATACAAGAGGCT